TGTAGCCCCAGCTGGTCTCAAAATCACAAAAATCCTCCTGCCTCGCCCTCCCAAATGCTGGGATCACAGGCGTGCACCACTATGCCCGGCCCTATCCCAAGTAATCTTGAAGCCACTTCCAAATGAGTACACAACACAGCTAAAAAGTCCTTCAAATCTACCCCCACAATATGGACATCCTTACGACCATCCCATGTAGACATTCAGGATGGCTGCTGGCTGTAATGAGGAAAATAATGCTCTTGACGTTTCAGGTTCTGCTCACCACAAGGAGTGCTCCTGATTGGGATTCTAGAAGTTTTCGATGTTCACTTGGCTGCAGGTCAAGAGAATGAAGCATACTTCTTCCTTTGAAAACAGCAGTTCTAAGTCTTTCCAGTGCCTTTAACCCACACTAACCCACCCATGCCCCAGGGAATTGCTCACTCAAACAAACCGAGACAGCTTTATTCGCCCATCTTGACATTTGACAGAATTGTTTTCCTTATTTCTTGTCTTTTCTACTGTCTCCTTGCGTTGTTCTTGAGTCCCAGGACCATGCATGGGGCTTGCCCCACTTTGACTTTTACTGGATTCTTAGGCATTGTTTGGCCCTCTGCTGTCCAACCACTACTGGGAAACTACTGTACTACTTGGCCTAGGACAAGCCAGAGGCTGGGGTCCACTCCACGGCAGATTGCTCAGCCCTTGTCAGATCTGATGACTCCATTAAAGAAAGCTGAAAGGAAAAGAAAAGAGTCATGAGCAAGTTTCAGATTTCCAAATTAGATGTCTCTGAAACTAAAAGGGTGCCCGACAAGGAGCTCCAGATCAAAATCCCAGTGGGGACCTGAACTTATTTTGGCAGCTGGGGTTTCTCAAGAGTCAGCTGCTCCAATAAAACGCAAGCCTTTCTGTGGCTGATGAAACCTCCATGTGACAACTGCGACTATTTGTGTCCCTGCCTCAGTTTCAGCACAGTGCCTGGAGGCTAGAATGCTCTAAAAAAGAATCTCCCAGTGCAGCTAGGATTCTGCCATTAAGCAGGGGAGCTCGCCAAGATGTTATTAAAAAAACTCACTAGTAAGAAAACCTATCATTGAATTTTGTTCTTGATGCCTTTACTTGCATCCTTCCCTCCACTGCTCCCACCTTCTAAGACTTTTTCTTTGAATCCATGATTCTGAGAATTACTCCTAGTCCTGCATGCCCGCTGATGTTCTAGCGGGAAGGTGTGTGGTGTGGAGCAGGGGTAACTGTGCCGGACCTGACTGGGTCAGTTCAGAACAATGCTCTCTGCTTGGAAATATTAGAAGAGTCTGCCCTCAGGCAACTCCCACATGTCTGTGTGCTCACACAGAAATGAAAGATAAACTCAGGAGAAAGTTACATGCACCTCTAATTCTTGTTCAGAAATTTGAGAAGAAGGCAACATAACATTTTAAAAATCCTTCTTGTTGAAAATTCTATTTCTAGAAAACGTGATCATGAGAAGTGTGTGGCTGGCTACATGGTTGACATTCCATCACTTGGGATAAGCTCCTGACAGAGGGTAGGGCCACCCACTTGCGAAGCTTTGAAGAAACACATTTAATCAGACAAGGACAAATGGAAACTGAAATGATGGGGAGGAAGCAAAAGATCTAGGAAAAATTACAAAATCAAATATTAATGGAGTTTACCAGACGGGGTGAAAGCTGAGTCAGACTACTGACAGTGCCTACCCGGCACTGTCAGATGGGAGCTGAGGGGACAAGTAATAGTTTCAGGAGGAAATTAATAATTTTCAGGAGGAAATACTGGGAAAACTTCAGGAACAATATTTACCATTCCCAATGGTTCTGTAATAAGCCCAAAATAGGATGGCTAAAGTAACTCAATATTTTAATGTGAGGTAGATGCATTCATTTGTTGAAACTTCTTTCTTAACAGTTTGGCATCCCTTGTAACAGAATTTCAGAGGCATTGTTAATCCTGGCGCAGAGGTCACTGTTGTTCCTTGGACTTCTGTTCCTCAGACACCTGCAGGAAATCTCGTCCTGCTAATAGTAGAGCGCCTCAACTTCATGCTGTCCTTTGGTAATAGCATCTTCTCTCAGAAGCAGATGGATGAATAAAGGCAATATAATCAACACCTAATTTTGATCAAAAAGATACAATTTAATAATAAATTTGGAGTGAACTGAACCTTGGGGAACAGTAGCTACAGAGGCCGTCTACTGTCTTTTAGTGCAGTAAGTCCCCAAGTTCTGTCCCAGGAGAATTTTTCAAAAGCTGGAAATTTTTCATAAGCTTATAGTGAGTCTTGTGGCTCACACAGTTCACAGCCTGTGTGTTTGTAACTTGGGGACTTATTGTATACTGTCGTGTATTCACCCCACCTCAGCTAACTGTACCCTAGTTCGGCCAGGGAAATAATCAGTTCATCACTGCATGTCATTTTATTGGGTGCGTCAATCAGGGCTTCTTACTTGCCTTAGCCACGGGAAGCACATCTGACCTAATCGAGGTTGATCAGACTCACTGTCTGTCTTAGGATTTCTTGGCACAGCACAGATTAATTCCTGCTAGGGGGACTTTGGGAGCCACATCAGCTCTGGCTGTTTCTGAGGCTAGTTCTGAGCTGTAGTCTGTTTCAAGTGCTACGTACCTAATAACTTTATCAAGTATGACATCAGTACATGTCCCACACTGTGATAACCCCAAGGAGAAAAGGGCATAAGAAGGCATCTGGGGGCTGGGAATTTAGCTCAGCGGCAAAGCGCCTGCCTGGCAAGCACAAGGTCTTGAGTTCGGTTCCCAGTACCGGAGAAAAACCAAAAAAAAAAAAAAAAAAAAAAAAAAAAAAAACAAAAAGAAGGCATCTGTCTGAGATTTCAAATATTTAAGACAGAGATAAATAGGTTGCTGAGATAGCTATAGCTTATAAAGGGAGAGGAGCCCAAGACTCTGCCAAAAAACTCCAAAAATGTTATTTTTAAAAATGATTTCGGTATAAAGCAAAAGAGACAGGGATGTAAGGAAGCCAATGAGCAGCTAACAGCCATGACAATGACATCGGGTCATAAAAGATCCGTGATACAGTATCAGAGAATAGTACATACTAAAGCGAGAAAGAAAGATTTGTGCAGAAAAGTAAAGGCCCTGGTTGAATGTCTAAGCCAAGAAATAAAATGAAACAAAGCTTATGAAAAATGGCCTTTTGTTGACTACAAGCACAGCAAAAATGGGCAGAACAG